GAGGGGCAACCAATCTTGGCCTCCACAAATGCTGACCGACTGGCATTACTCCAGACCCAAGACAGAATTCTGTTGGTCACGCTGAAGACCACCATCTCCCTGATTCTTCTTTCTTTCCCCATGACCATGATCACAAGGCCTTCTTCTCGTACCTGTGTCTCGTCGGATTGATGGAGATGCGCTTTTTCTCTGGCCTTCAGCATCTCGTTTATCTTTATGCGTTCGTCATTCAGTTGACCAGGTTTCCCTAGGCGATCATGCTTTTCAACACCACGAACCAAAAATGCGCGTCATAGTCTTGCTACATATCGTCCTCCAAAACGCCTGGCTTGCGTGCGGCGGAACAATTGAAAGAGGTGGACATGGAGAATACAACGGTCACTCTGATGGTCTCTCAAGCCAGGACCTGCTGACCCCCAAGACAAGAGGAGGAGAAGAGATCCCGTTATGGAAAGATACCGTGCCAGGAGTCCTTGGTGACATGTTGAATGCCTTGGACGTCATGCAAGATTCTTATTTCGACATCTTCACCGGAACGTGGCCAGATGCCATCGACTGGACCTCTGCTGTCATGGGCACACACATCTCGGCCACCCTCGCTAGCATTGTCTCCTCGTTGGATGCGTCTTCCACAGCCACCTGCTCCGATATGCTCTCCTGGCAAAACATCGTAGATCGATATTACGCGCACACGACCGTCTTCTATTTTGGCGAGAATGCTTTTGGTTTACGAAATCAAGCTTACGATGACATGCTCTGGGTTGTTCTCGGCTGGATCGAGAACCTGAAATTTGCAGAAATGTACACTTTGAAACACTGGGATTTTCTACAGTCGGGAAGGCGCGGCGATTCGGGCACCGGGTGGCATGGTCTTCAGATCAGCCCGATGGCCGCTCACCGTGCCCGGATATTTTACGACCTGGCATCTGTGGGATGGGGTGAATCTCTTTGCGGAGGCGGCATGAATTGGAATCCATATTTGACGCCTTACAAGAACGCCATCACGAATGAACTGTTTGCTGCGGCTAGCATTGCCATGTACCTCTATCATCCCGGCGACAACAACACTTCGCCATATTTCGTCCAAGGCGGGACAGACTTCGCTAAGCCTCACGATCCTGCGTATCTGGAAAACGCCATCAAGAGTTACAAATGGCTTATGAATAGCCGGATGCGCAATCCCAGGTCCGGTCTTTATCAAGACGGGTTCCACGTCACCGGATGGCGCCGATATCCCAATGGGACCATCGACCCGGGCACTGGAAATTGCGACGAACTCAATCCCATGGTGTATACCTACAACCAAGGTGTGGTGTTGTCTGCCAGTCGTGGTCTGTGGCTAGCTACCGGCGCTCGAAGCTACTTGGATGATGGTCATGCACTTGTGGACAGTGTGATACGAGCAACTGGGTGGCCATACTCACGTCCAAACTGGAGTGGTTTGGGCCGTGCAGGAATACTCGAAGAATTTTGCGACCACAACGGGTATTGCAGTCAAGATGGCCAGACCTTCAAAGGCATCTTCTTTCACCATCTGTCTGAATTCTGTCGGCCATTGTGGCCACAAGAAGAGGCTTTCATAGCAACTCACAAAACTGCGGGTTTCGACAGAGCAGTTTACCAGTACCATCTGGCCCGCTGTGCTGCTTATGACAAATGGGTTTCCCGTAATGCCAACGCGGCCGCCGCCACACGAGATGCTGATGGGCACTTTGGCATGTGGTGGACTTTTGAGGAACCTGATGAAGACACAATGGCTCAGATCCAAGAAAGTACAGTTCTTCCGACTGGGGCGGATGACCACCTCAATCCTGTCCCCGAGACTTGGCCCACTCAATTCGTGAACTCGACTGATAGGAACGATCGAGGAAGAGGGCGCACGGTGGAAACGCAGAGTGGAGGGTTGGCTGTTCTGCGGGCGCAATGGAACTGGCAAGTTCATTTACAGCAAATCTCGACCTAGGAAGGATGTAGTGCACATTTCCTGGATCACATAGTTGGTTGTGACACATCTAACGATGATATGTTTGAGGTTGAAATGATTGAGCTCCGTGTGGTACCTTTTGGCTGCTCGTTGACCCCTCGGACCAACTTCATTTGTGTGTATCTTTATCCGCGTGACTGTCCTACACATTTGATTCGCACAAAGTCCCGTCGAGCAGTCTCTGCTGTAGAGTGCCCTTTTGCTGTGCCACGGCCAGAGCACCCAGTCAATCAGCAATACTCGAACCGAGGAAGCGAAAGGCCGAAAGCGTACGGAGAACCAAGCAGGCTCCCTCCCCTTCATCGGTTGCGAAGGTTTGACAAACGTTTCCTTTGCCCCTACAACACCGTCGGAAGTCGTGCGAAAATGTAGGCTCTCGGAACCGACGCTCTCCCCTTCCCCCTCCTCCCTCGTACAGTTCGATTGGCTGCTCCACACTCTGCGTAAGGCGGGCTTACACCACGGAGCAGAGGCGGCCTTTCATACGATTGGGGGCGGCGAATGTCGGTGTGGGAGGGCCTTAGTCCATGCACGGGACACCTACTCCCTGGATCGATTGAATGGAGAAGGGCAGCAATGTTTTCGGCAAACGTCTGAAAAGTTATATAAGGAAGATCTTTCTCGCACTCGGAGAGTCAGACACAATCTTGAGACGGTCCTGGAACAGCACGACGACGATTGAGGTTCCCAGCAAAAGGAGAGACAAAAGGAAGACAAAATGGGCTTGGTATCCAATATCTCTGCAGACTCGCCCTTCACCTTGGACAACATCCCTTTCGGGGTCTTCTCGACAAAAGAAGATCCACGGCCACGCTGTGCGACGGCTATTGGCGACTTTGCTCTGGATCTTCGCGCACTCGGTCAATCAGGTTTCTTCAAGGACGCTTCAGTGGCCGATGCCCTTGGTCAGGTATGCAGAGAGTGATTGCCCATTGCATGGAGTACCAATGTCACATCAGCAGCAGCAGCAGCATCGTCGACTACTTGTTCCTGTGGTCTGCGAACAGAAACATTGTCAAGGCTCTAATCGGTTGATAGGCGACCTTGAATACCTTTGCGGCACTCCCAGTAAAGACGAGAACCACCGTTCGCGACCAGATCATCTCTGCCTGCAAAGATGACAAGGTCACAGACTCCTGCCTGCATAAGCTGGCAGAGGTGAAAATGCATCTGCCCGTGGCCATTCCCGAGTACACGGACTTTTTCTGCTCGCTTGAGCATTGCACCAACGTAAGTGGCTGCGCAACAACGGGCTGTTGTCTCCAAGGCAAATTTCCTTGTCGCTAAACGTATCCTCAAGTGCATGCCTATAACCAACAGCAAAGTCCCCGAGAACTTCTATCATGCACCCTCAGCCTACAACGGCCGAGCATCCAGCGTCATTCCATCGCCATCCCTGGTCCGTCGACCCAGAGGCGTGTACTGGAAAGCGGGGACAAAGGAGCCCACTTACGGACTGTCTCAGTTTATCGATTTCGAGCTGGAAATGGGATACATCGTGTCCAAACCAGTCCCTTACGGCGAGACAATCAAAGTGGACGACGCGCCAGACCACATCTTCGGCTTTGTGCTGTTGAACGACTGGTCGAGTCGAGACATCCAGATCTTCGAGATGCCGCCCTTGGGGCCGTTCAACTCGAAGTCCTTCGGTACCACAATCTCCCCTTGGGTCATCACGCTCGACGCGTTAAAGGCATTTCAATGTGCGCCCAAGCACGAGATCCAACCGCTGGAGCACCTGCGATTCAAGGACGTGGAGCACGGCACATTTAACATCAAACTCGCAGCATCCCTTGAGCGAGACGGAAAACGACACCAGATCTGCACGAGCAATCTGCGCTACCTATACTGGACCCCTTACCAACAGATCACCCATCATGCGTCGGCAAACTGCGGTCTGCGCACCGGTGATCTGATGGGCACGGGTACCGTCTCAGGCGACGGCAAGGACGAGAAGACGGGCAAGAAGTTCGAGCTGGGCTGTCTCTTTGAGGCCACACAGCACGCCAGTCAGCCGATCACCCTGGAGGGAGGTGGGAACCTTGGATATCTCGAAGACGGTGATTCTGTGATCCTCTCCGCGTGGTGTGAAGATGCCACCGGGCGGCGAGTGCTCGGGTTTGGCGAGTGTCGTGGGAGACTTGTGGGACCGGACGCGCCAATTTCTTGAGAGCTGTCAGACGCACGACGCATGGTAGTGTCATCAGATTATAATATAGGTATAGTTATAGCAGATGGGCCACAAAATGACTATTTTATATCAGTTGGCGATACGGCGAAGTATTGAGTCAGTAGCAACATTGCGCTACGGGAGAGCAGAAAGACACGTAAGACGTTACCCGAAAAATTGCAGCTGATCAGATACGCGATGATTTGATTCTGCCCGCCATACTCACTAACGGAGCAGAACAGCCAGCTGACATGTCGGTCGGCTCACGCATCGTTCCTTTGTGGTCTGCACTCTTCCAAATCAAAAAATCAGGGATAGAGGGACAACGACTGACCGCGGCGTTGCGAGACTATCCTCTTTTGCCGTCCTCCCGCCTCGCGAATCTCCCCGAGGCATCACTGCCGCGGCTAGTGCTACGTCTTGCCTGCCAGTAGCTGTTACTCCCGGGGTTGGATCTTGATTGGCCCCGTCCTTACTGACTACCTTTACGGCACCTTTTTTTCGCTTTCAGCCCTGCGGTCTTCCTCTCCACCGATTCCGTCATTCATCATATCGAGGATGCAGAGTGCCGTTGATCAAACGCCTCGGAGGACACAATTCTCCAGTTGTGATGCTTGTCGCCAGTCTCGCCTGGCCTGCGATGCTGCTCGGATCGGCGCCGGGCCTGGGAAGCCGGACTGGTCGGGGTCCTGCTCGAGATGCAGGCGCCGAAAACGACCATGTACTTTTGAGGTACGCCGTGAATCAAGATGTGCTTCTTTGGACCATCGCATATGTGTCATATCGGTGTAACCCCCGAAGAAGAGCGAACAAGACTAGAAATGCTCACATGCTGTTTATCAGTGGATGAATAATGCCAAAAAGGTCGGTGCTCGAGGCTTGCGGAAAACCCGCAGTCCGCCCTTGACGACGGCATCTTCTGAGCAATCGTCGTTGTCTCCTGAAGTTCGACAGCGCGACGTGGAAAACGATGCGTGGATCCCTCCCGCCGAGTCTACTTCTCAAAGTGCCCCAGACCAAATTCGGTGCGTATACGTCAGCCTTTGATGCAGCAGGATCACTAACAAGGCTTCAAAAGCCTCTCCACCGAGTCGTCCAGCTTGGCTGCCTCTTCCGCTTCCTATGTTCCGCTGACTCCACCTTTCGAATGTACAACCACATCAGTCGGTGACTGGCTGGAGCGGATATATGAAAGCTGTTTCGACAATGTTCTCGGATTCTGGATTGGGAGGCATGCATGCGCATTGGTGTATGTCCCGCGGGAGTTTTCAAGATGTCATCACGCTAACTTCGTCAGGGCTGACCCCAAGTGTAGCATCATCTACCCTCCAGGTAGATGCTTTTCCGAACTTGACGAGTCTATCTTTGGTGATTGGGAAGCACGGAATCGACTAAGTAGTGTGCAGTCACCCAGTCGCTCACAACAAAGATGGGACCAAATTGATCAATCGTTGAAACATGCTAAACGATCGTATGCAGCACGATGGTTCCACCTTATTCCGCCGGCTGAACGAGCGGGTATCCTGCCAGAACACATTGTCAGAGAATTCTGGCGCAGATCACGCAGGGACATGTTGAAGGTGGTCAATCGTGTGTCTTATCGGTCCGCTTTGACGCTGTTTCTCTTCTCCACGACACCCGTCCCGGTAGGGATATCAGAAGAAGAGGAGATGGACGGTTTGTCGGGGCCGCTCTGTGTCCAAGCCGCATTACAACAGATCCAACGACTGCGTGAAGGCCAGCGCAACTGCCAATTCAGTGGATCCATGGTGGTGCAAGAGGCAGAACTCCTGGCAAACCCGGTAACCAGCTCGAAACTGTCAGATGCCTTTTTGCGGACTGAAGCCCGAGCGTACTGGGCGGCCTTGACGTTTGACACGTCTTCTGCGCTGACAATGAATCTGAGATCAACCCTTACATCAGGATTGCATGGCGCAGAAACCGAATCTTGTTGGCGAACGCTGCGAATGGGCGCTGGATCCTTCCACACGAGGACAGGGGAATGGCGACGAAATCCTTTTTCGATGACATCAGACGAGGTCTTACAAGCTATAGCCGCTGCCGCTGCGGCTAAGATGTACGTGTGGAAGATGATTTCTATATTGAAAGAAGCACTCAGAGAAGGTGCCGAAGATGAGAAGGTGCTTCGGGCTTGGACATCATGCACTGAAGCCATCGAGATGTTTCGAGTCACTTTCGGACCACTTCTCAATGACTGCGAACGACGCCTCCCATTCCTCGGTCAAGTGGAGAAGCTGAATTGGTATGAACTCATGCTGCACCATTACATGGGAATTCTAATCCTTGTCGACGCGCTCGAAGTCGCAGAACGGAATGACCTGCTCTCGCGACTGTCGGAAACAAAACTGGAAGCTGAACATGGAGTCTTCAACGCTTTGAAATTTGGTCTAGAATCCCAATTTACCGTTGGTGGAACCCAGAAAACGGGAACGAGCACGGGGATGCAGAGTTCAAATTCGGACCAAACGACAACTGCATCGTTCATCGCTTTCGACCCCTTTCCGCATTATGTCGTTGCTGCAGCCCAGCTCATGGTGAAAGCCGTCAGCAAACAGTACCGGCAGGGGAAGATCAAATTGGAGGCCTACAAATACTTGAATGGCACTCTTCTTAAATGCCTGGCGGAGCTACCCCAGACTTCCAAGTCTGTCCAGGCGGCTCGCAAAAATCTCGAGAGCTCACTCGTGGGGCTAGAGGATATCTCCACCCAGTCTTCGACGCTCGGAAGCACATATTGGCCTGCTCAAATATCTCAATCACGCCCTACACCTGACTGATGAGTCACCAGGGATTGGCCAACTCAGTCACTCCAGCTGTAGAGTTACTCCAATTCAATGATCCACTTGCGATTCTCTGAAGACATGGCTGCGGCAATGTTCAACAGGAAGCCTTCGGTTATGCTCGCCATGTCTGTCGAAGCTTCGGTACCGAGAACCGAGACGGTTTTCTGGATCCGAGATGTTTATGGAGACCATTCACGGCACATTTGAGATTGGGGTTACATATCAACATCAAAGCCACAATTGATTGGTGCGAAAGGCGCCGTCAGTCCCATCCTGACATATCTCTGGAAAGTTGCTGGTGCTCAACCTCGGGACCGTTGGAATCGCGCCCCTCCCTTGCCATAGGTTGGATATCGGGCAGTTAGGCGGTAAGGAGCACTCCTATACGTTCTACGGCAGGCCGTATGGCTTTAATCATGGTTTACCGGCTGAGACCCCAACCCACTGCAGGGCTAGTTTTTTGCAACACGAGGCAGCTAGATCTTGAGGGTAAGGGTGTCAACCGAGTTTCGTTCATGAGAGTGGCTCCAACGCTTCAAGCGAGCCAAGTCAGAGGCCTTCGAGTCCGGGGGAGAAACAAGGGAGGGTCCGGCGGCTATGAAATGCCTTGTCAGCACACATGCATTGGCCCCCGCTGTTACCCAAAACGCATGTATATTATATAACGGCTGATTGTTGCTTTGGACGCGACAACTGTTTCCTCTTTGGGACAGTATAGCCACGGCACGTGCCAGGCATGATTTCCCCGACCGTGATGTCATTGGCTCCGAGTTTCCCGTCAATGCTTCACCTCCTCAATCGCTTCAACTTATTCAGCAGCATCTCGCACATTTGTTTGTTGCAGCCAGGATGTGAGACACTGGAAACTCTCCACCTCAGTCCTGCAAAAGACGCTTATGACCTACCCATCTCCGCCTCAATGTGAAGAGTGATAACCCCGACATGACAGAGAGATCGACCAGGTCCAAAACAACGAGTGCCGTGTGTCACCGCCGTGATGCCTGCTGAGTCCATCTTTCCGGACTTTGTTCTCGGCCATCCAAGGCATCATAAGACGAGACCTCAGGGAGTTCCTCACAAACAGAAGCCCAAGGCAAGACCGCCAAAGGGTGTGAGGGATAAGGTTCCCTTCTATGGCAAACTCCCGCACTACGCTGGCCCCTATGAGGTTGGCATAATCGACATCGAAGTGCCTGCTAAGAGCCCTAGGACCTTCTCGAACATCAAGCGCCATGGTGTTCCCGCGCTTGCTCTCGAGACGGTGTTGATGACAATCTATTATCCCGCCCATCTCAATGTCAAGTACAATGTCGATACTCCAACCGCAATGCAAAGGTTTCGTCCGACATGGCTGACTCGACCAAGAGATCAGACGAGCCGCGGATATGGGCGTTTCGCTGCGCTTCCGGAGCACCTGATGATGGCCTTCTTCTTCTGTACAACATGGTATACGAAAATCCCGGCCTATAAAAATGCGAGACTGGCGGAGCATTGGCCTCCACCCGGAGAAGCGTCGACAGGTAGCCGAAAGGCGGTTGATATCGAAGGGAACCCACCTGATCAAGGCCCAGAAAAGCCCAAGTTTCCTCTCATCATCTTCAGCCATGGACTGGGAGGGACGAGGACGTGCTACTCTTCCGTCTGTGGAGAATTTGCAAGTCATGGCTTTGTGGTAGTCGCGCTCGAGCATCGAGATGGAAGCGGGCCGAGAACTCACATCAATCACTCCGACCACGGACCAGGAAGTCGGCATTGTACAGAAGTCAATGGAAATGTGGAGCACAAGGAAAAGGATACTAAGCGGTCCTACGATACGGTTGACTTCATTTTTGCAAAAACCGACAAGTACGACACCACTCCCGGCCACCAGGTAGACCATGAACTACGCAACGCTCAAATTGATCTGCGGCTGGCGGAGATTGACGAAGCCTATCAGGTTATGCAAGAGATCTGTACCGGTGACGGTGACAAAGTTGCAGCGAGGAACCTGAGGGTCAAGCCCGCAATTGGGGCCTCAAGAGTTGGTCTGGATGGCATTGACTGGTCGTCCTGGAAAGATCGATTCTTCACCGAGGGCGTCACCATGGTAGGGCACTCGTTTGGAGCGACGACGACGGTGGAGGTCCTGCGACAGAAACACAGATACAAATACATCACTCAGGGAATCATCTACGATATCTGGGGAATGCCGGTGCGCCCCACTTCCGAGGAGCGGGAGAGCCGCATTCGCGTTCCGCTTCTGGGGATCAACTCCGAGGCATTCATGTACTGGCCTGACAACTTCGACGTGGCAAAGGCAGTGATCACGGAGGCCCTGGAGACGGGCCACCCGGCGTGGCTCATGACCGTCCGTGGGACCGTGCACATCTCCCAGTCGGACTTTTGCATTCTGTACCCGCACCTGGCCAGCTACCTGATGAAGACGACCATCGACCCCGTCCGTGCCATTGATGTCAACATCGACGCGTCTCTCGAGTTCCTATCCCGCGTCATGCCCAAGGAAGTACACTGCGAGCAGCCCTTCCTGAGGCGGATGAGTTCGAAGAAGTTTCTGGACCTCCCCTCCCTGGATGAGCTGCCGACCGAGCACCGGCCGCACCAGAAATGGACGGCGGTGCGGCTGCGGGTCCAGCACGAGGCGCGCAAACGGCTGACCCCCGGCGCGAGGAGGCGTTACTGGGAGAAACTGCAGAGGTCGGGCGAAGGCGAGGTTTGGCTCCACATCAACCCGGACAGTATGCCGGCGTTGGAAAAGTGCGAGACGTGTCGCATTCCCAGGTGGACGGAGATTGATAGGCCCAAGTCGAGGGAATGATAGGGCCGGTGGCACCAACGAACATGACACTGCTCCATTACCATTGTTTTGCTACTCTATACCGTCCCCCCGGAATAGGACTGATCGGATGGTGGAGGTAACCTAGGCTGGGGAGTGCTATTCTCGAAGTGCATGTTGGCTCTGTCTGACCTGCCATTTATAGATAACATCCTCGATATATCTCGAGTGGAAACCCGCGTATGTAAATGGGTATGTGTCTTTTTGTACACATTTAATGTGTCAGAGGGTCAGCAGAGACAACAAACAGAGGGTTTTTTCTGCCGCTCGCTCTACCTTGAACTTTACATTCTACCCCACGATCGAGGCTTTGGGCTGAAAGATCTCCCAGTCCCACTTGAGAGAACAGCTCAGGGTACCCCGTACAGATGACCCCATCAACTCACCTGAGATGGGGCCTCCCACAACGAGTCGTTACGGTCCCTACAAAACCACCTCTCGCCGTCCTACGAACCTACACCTTTTTACCGCCTGCCTCTCCGCTCCTAGTCAGAACGGGAAGATACACTTGCCACCATGCCCGCCGTCCAGGGACATTGCGATGAGAAATTTTGCGATGTCCAAGACCTGCTGCAGAGATATATTGACTCGGGCGAAGAGCTGGGAGCGTCTCTGGCCGTCAATTGGGACGGAAAAGATGTGGTTAATATCTGGGGTGGCTACGCCGACCAGGACCAAAAGCGGCCGTGGGAAAAGGATACCATCACCAACCTCTTCTCAACCACCAAAACGGTCGCCGCTCTAGCTGTCCTCATCCTTGTCGATCGAGGTTTGCTCGGCGTGAATGACAAAGTAGCCAAGTACTGGCCAGAGTTTGCGGCGAATGGGAAGCAAGACATTGAGATCCGCCACGTCCTCTCTCACACCTCTGGCGTGGCTGGCTTCGACACTCCTTTGACCGTGGAGGACATTTGCGACTCAGCCAAAGTCACCGCACTGTTGGCCGAGCAGGCACCGTGGTGGGAACCTGGTACGGCTTCTGGCTATCATTCCTTCACTCAAGGCTACTTGATTGCAGAGATTGTCCGGCAAGTAACAGGTAAATCACTCAAACAATTCATCGCCGAAGATATTGCCGCCCCTCTCGGTGCCGATTTCCAGCTGGGATGTTCAGATAGAGACGAAACCCGCAGGTCGAATGTCATCCCGCCGCCACCAGCAGGACCGCCTCCCTTCGACCCTGCCTCGATCGGGTTTCGAGTCATGACCAACCCGGCCATGAGAGCCGAATTTGCAAACAGTGAGCTGTTCAGAAAGGCAGAAATAGGGGCGGGAAACGGGCACAGCAACGCCCATGGGGTCAACCGCATCTTATCCGTCATCTCTATGAATGGCCAGGTCGACGGCAAACAGTTTATATTCCCAGAGACCGTCAACCTCATCTTCCAAGAACAGTCAAATGGGATGGACCATGTGCTTGCCTTTGGGGCACCCATCCGCTGGGGCATTGGCTTCGCTCTGCCCAGCAAAGGTACCTGGATTGACTGGCTGCCTGCGGGAAGAGTATGTACCTGGGGCGGATATGGTGGTTCGATGGCGGTGATGGACCTGGACCGCAAGCTGACCATTTCGTACGTCATGAACAAGATGGACAATGTTGGACTGGGCTCGGATAAGGCCAGGGCTTATATTGCAGCGGTGTATAAAGCCATGGGGGTGTCTTGAGAATCTCCGTAACAAGGCCACCCTCCCCTCCGTGTCTATCAGCCGCATCGGTGCAAATGACACCGAATCTGAGAGACTGCCGAACCATGATACATTGTGTCTTGTCTCCACGATCCTCCTTCCACCTCTACAACCAATCTCGTCCTTTGTACATGCATGGATCGACATGCTAACGTCCACTTTGGTCAAGGTAGTATCCGCCTAAATGGCACGACTTACCATGAAGACGCTCATGTCCGTGCCTCCTCCTTCGATGGTGAGATGGTCTACCATACTACACATCATGGATTGCTCTGTAGGGTGTTTCTATCACCTACCTCGAGGGACGAAAAGCTAGATGTGCACCTATCTCGACGAGACTGCACACGATGGTACACGAACCCAAGGACATGGAGGCTGGGAAGCTGACCGAAGCCGCCATCGTCGAAACGCCGCAAACGGAGAGACAGCACGACGAAAACGACGACATTGACGACCTGAAAAATGCTGAGCACGA